CGATGCAAACGCGATGCAAACGCGATGCAAACGCGATACAAACGCGATGGAAACGCGATGCAAATGCTATGCAAACGCGATGGAAACGCGATGCAAGTGCGCAACTAATTTATTTATTTATAGTATTCATTACATAGTTTCACTTTTTAATTTACATTTAACAAAATATAATAATCTGTATAAACCTATAGAGATTTTTCATACATAATTATTCAACATAAGCGACTGTATTGACGCAGTCGCCCGTTTGCATCCATTCATTTCACGGATGCGCGTTTGCATCGCTACTAAAAATCGCTGTGTGTGTAAACTCTTAGGAGGGGTGCACGAAAGGAGCCTCCCATGACGTACCATTCCTTTCCTGAACGTCTGACGCATCCTGAGCAACAACGGCGAGTACCTTACGCCGATAGGCAAACCCTTTCACCACAATGGCAAGCATTATAATTTATGCCATCGACACGATAAGAAGAAGAAGCTAGCCTTTGAAAGCTCTGTTGACACTTTTTTTTGAAGAACTTCATGTCATTACGCAAAGGAAATACCATGGAAATACTTTAGTTTCAGTCGAGTTTGTGACTAGCTGTGATGGTCTGGCACATTTTTATTATTATCTTATTATTACTCATGCATTTTTTAACAATATAATGTTTATTTGAAGACCTTAGGATCATGATTGTCAAAGTTACAAGTTATAAGTTAAACACTATTTTGTTAGCAGCCCGATATTATTGTTATTATCTGTGGGTGTAGTAATACTCATATTTACGATATACGATAACGCAACTAAGATAACTGAATGGAAATATTTATTTGGCTTTACTATCGACGTTTTACACGACTTATTTTATAGGATTAAGATAAGAGATATACCAAACATAATTTCGGATTGGGATTCGAAGAATCTATTTGCCGTTGTAGTCGACTGCCATTAAGGTCAGATACGGAGATAGATATAATATATGTTCTCATCATCAAAAACCGTGGGTTTACGTCTCACTGCTGGGTAGAGAGTTTAGAGAGAGTAGAGAGTTCTCTCATAAGAAGGTATAAGTTATAGTTCCCCGCGCTGGCCCAATGCGGGTTGGGGACTTCACACGTTTTCTAAGGGTTATGAAACCTTCTTCGACGTGCTGATATCCTTAAATATTTTCTTGACCGAAAAGCTCATGGTGAATTTCAAATTAAATGCCGCACATAAGTTCCGAGAAATTCAGAGGCGCGAGCCCGTTTAATCAAATATAATATGTAAAGGAATAAACGTGCAAAAAAGTTTACACATTTTTCTATCAGTTCTATCATTTTCCTATATCTATGATTGTTATCTATTAAAAACCTCCTGATTTTTCTTGACGCAGTAAAAAAGATAAATAATTTATTTTATGTAACTCAAGTGTTTTTTCTACGGAAATATAAATGTACACAAGAACAAAATATACATATCTGTTAAGCTTAAATTTCTTAAAATTTAAACAAATAAAAACGTGTATAATCGTATAAAGCATCTCATCGCCGCTGTAAAAGTACTTTGCACGTACCATATTTGCACGTTTAAATTTGTATTTTATCTTACTTTTTGGTATAGTTTAATGCAACAAGCATGCAAACGTATTTATTTTTATAATATTAGAAAGTTTTACAAAGTCACTGCTGCATATCTTTTTTACATAAATAATTGTGTAAATAAAAGTACTTTGAAATTGTAACGCATTTAATTTTCATATTAATGAATTTATAATAAAAAAAAAAAATTTGCTGGGAGAAGAAATAGATTTCCCACAGATGGCGCTACGGCAAAAAAGTCGTTTTAAGTCGTAGTCGTTTTAAAACCAAAAACAAAGATCTGCAATAACCGCATAGAAAAATTCGTAACCTCCGCTAGCTCCCTCCGTAGCTTAGTTGATATAGCGTGTAGCACGGTTTGCTGAGCCGCTGGTTCAAGACACTGGTTCGAATCCAGCCGGACCGAAGGAATTTTTTCTTAGTGTTTGATCTTTGTACTAATTATTATAACAAACTAGTAAAGTAATTTCACGAAAAAATATCATGGTGTTCAAATATCGTTATCATGATATTCAATAAAAAACTTAAACATTAAATAAATTTCAATAAAATTAATAAATTTTCGAAATAAATCCATCAAGTTTTACTCATTTTATTTTTTCTATAAAATTCATGTTTTGATGTTACACGTTTACTCGGTGGGACTGTCGAATTTAGTAGTTAGTCCTAGGACCATGCCGCTACAGTTCGAACCATCGACTTCTCGATAGAGCAACAGTGCTCCCACTGAGCAATGCCCGCTCTTTTGATATGATCACAACTTTACACAACCAAAACAAAATAATAATAATGTGCCAAACAACCAGACCAATTCTCTAGTCTCAAACTAGGGAATCCCTTGTACTATGAGTACCAGAACACCGTAATTCACTCTGGGGCACTTCACAGAATACTCAAACTAGAACAAATTTAGAAAAGTTCATTTCCCAATGTGATCCTACCGGGAATCGTACCCGGGATCTCCTCATTCAGCGCCCACTTTATGAACTGTTTGGTCACCGATGTCGTCAAATACTTACATATCCATGATACCAGGCCCATGCCACTCCGACAGGAAACAGTATTATCGTGGACAACCCAACAGCCCAACCGAGAAGATCCGCGAATAGTGGGAACACGTAATTCCCGTATGTCGCACCCGTCCAGTCGGAGAACTTGAATATCAGAACACCCTGTGCAAAACAAAATTGCAATTTTGAATCAACTAAGACAAAGAATACGGAACTAGAGCACTTAAAAAATAAAATTGTGTATACTTCGTTTTTAAGGATTACAAAATACGTAAACACAACAGTGGTCAATAATTATGATGCCAAGTAACGGGACGAACAAGTCGTGCGCCTGTCCATGATAGTTATAATGCCACTCAGAGCTCACTTCAAATCACAAAGATCTAAGAGACACTGCCACAGCACCTGTCACTCTGAGACATAAGTTGACAAGTCTCATGTGCCGGTAATTTCACCAGCACCCTTACCTTTCAAAATTGTACCGGAGTATAGCTCACAATACTCCTTGACGGTAGAAACAGTCAAGGTGGCAGTACTTCCCTGGACGAACTCTTTCACAAGGAACTCTACTGCTACTAAAATCACCACTGCTATTACTTACTAAAACTGTTTTAGTATAAACCATTATTCCAGAAAAGCAGCATGTACATAAAAATTAATGTTTGTCCTCTGTACGATCCATTATTATTCATCGATAAAATAAATAAAGCATTAATAATAATGTATTAATGAATAATAAATGTTGTGCTCGCACCCGCAAAGTTTTCTGAAGCATTAGATACCTTTAAAGAAACAGACAGTTTCGTCTTCAGTTGCATTGTAACATACAGCCGGGTACAACTGGTTATTTATAAAAAAATTAAAATACTGGCAAAGCTAGAGATTAGTTAAACTTATTAATTACGACTAGGGAAGTCAAAGAAAGGACTTTACCAAACTGCCGATAGGAAGTATAAATATCCAAACAACTTTCCAGTAGTATTCATAGGCTGGGTAAAACTTCATTTTCATCGTCCTTAGGTTATCGATGGCTCGGTTGATGCCATAACACCAGGAGACTGACACGCACTAGAAACAAATCAACATGATTTTTTATTCACATCTTAGGTTTTCGCGATTGTTACAAATAGGCAATGAAACCATTTTTTCAGAAGTAATTCCCGTATATCGTCGCCTTACTTTCTCAAACTCGTATCTTAAAGCACAAAGTAACTGAAATGCAAATAAAAAAAAAGTAATGCATCCTAATTAATACCCTTGATAAAAAATTTAAAATAAATAGAAAGTTTTGCCATCTCCTGACTAATCACTCTTTATAAGATACGTGTTTGAGGAAGTAAGGCAACGATATCAGTTTTTCAAACAAAGCAACTTTATAACTCGACAGCTTGATTTATTTGAAAAAAAAAACAAATATAAGCAATTTGGATCCGAAAAAATAGTTTCATAGTGTAGTGTAGCGTTTAGTAGTGTAATACGCGATGATATTTAAGCATGTAATAAAATAATTATAACTTTTTTATTAAAAAAACCGACCTCAAAGGTTTGTGGAATTACACCTATTTGCCAAGTTTTATTGAAACTGAACTGTTAAAGGAAACCGGATTCATACCCTAATTTGCCACCCCTCTAAAAGTGGAATATTTTCTTCAAATTTAAATAGGATTATTACTGAGGTACCCTCTTTCCAACAAAAAGGAATCATCGAAAGTGGTTTACAAATGTCGGAGTAATTGCGTATATTTGTTTTTTCAAACAAACTAAAATTTCGGACTCTTTACAGGTTTCGTGGACCTGTGAAGGCCCCGAAAGGTTGTTGAAAAAACAAATATACGCGGTTTAGACCCGAAAAATAATCTCATTTCCTATGTGTAACAATCCTAAAAAAGACCTAAGAACTCGTTAAATACAGCCGAATTGCGATCCTTCTCCTTTTGACATCGGTTGAGAAATAATTTGTGCTTACTTCAGCTATGCCAATTAGAAGAACGGCCCAAGTCGCAGTATTCCATTCCAATAGAGTTAATAAGAAGACTCCTCCGCTAAAACACATTGGCAGGCCCAGGAGGAAGCAGCATGTACAAGTGAATGCGGTGACCTAGTAAAAAAATAAATTTGCTTGAACATAACATTAATAAAATAACACACACACTCATAGTCCCGCACTACGGAAACCATGTATCGCGGGTGCCATGGACACCCACATAGACAACCACAAATTACACCTAAACTCAAAAGAGAGGGACCTCAACAGGACTTTCACCTCCACAGGACAGTCAAGAATGGTAATCGTTCTGTCACGTGAGGTTTGGTGCTACTGTAATTAAACATTCGGGTAATTATGATTCCTTTTTTAATTCAAACTACGCAGTTACATTTTTTGTGACTGATCTTCATCAACATCAACCCACTTATACGTCCCACTGCTGGGCACGGGTCTCGGCTCAGGCGAGGGTTTAGGCCATAGTCCGCCACGCTTCACACGTTTTCCGAGGATTATGAACCTTCCTCGACGTGTAAGTTTCATCACGACGTTTTCCTTCAGCGAAAAGTTCATGGTAAATTTCAAATTAAATTTCGCACATAAATTCGAAACTCAGAGATGCGAGCCCGGATTCAAACCCACGGCCTCTGCTTCAAAGGCGGTAGTTCAAACCATTACTAAGGCTATCACGGTTTTATCTGGCTTCGTTACCACAAATACCTTTACAAAAGTGAAATTGTTTCTTGGATATAATAATAAGTGCTAGATAACCACACTAATCGCCTGGTTTCAAACTACTAGGAATTTTGAACACCAGTGCGACGGCATTTACTCCAGGGCTTTACACAGACCACAACATATTTAAAAAGCTATATTTACTATCAACTATTTATTTCTTAAATTATTCTCGCCGGGAATCGAATCCGGGACCTCCTTATCCAGCGCTTATTTGAATTGTGAAATTAGCCACAGAGGTCGTAGAAATATTGTAGTGTCTACATTCGTTAATCTTACCTTCCAATAAGACTTTCTGAAATGCGGCCAGCGGTCTACGATAGCCGTGTTAATAGCTTCGATACCAGCGAACTGGCTACCGAGACCCAGTATGAACAGCATGAAGAAAAACAATATCGACCATAGCACCGGTATGGGCATTTGCAAAATTGCTTCTGGGTACGCCACGAATATTAGACCGGCTCCTTCTTCAGCTACATCTGATAATAAAAGACACACAAAATAGTTTATGGCCAAATAGAAAATTTTATTAAATTTTATTAAACTATAATTATTAATACATTACAATAAACTTTATTATTATATTTTATTAAACTTTCATAGATTTCTCACAGATGGAGCTGTGGTAAAAACTTGTTAAAAACAAAGGTCTGCAAGAAACACATAGAAAAAATCATAAGATCTGCTAATTCGTTTCGTAGCTCAGTTTGGAGCGCGTCAGCCACGGTATGGTGAAGGCGCTGGTTCGAGTCCAGCCGGATCGGATAAATTTTTCCTTGTGTTCTATTTTTGTGTAATAATTATAACGAACTAGTGAAGTAATTTCACAAAAAGCAATTGAATGTAGTAAAACATCGTAATATTCAATAAACTTAAAATTAAAAAAAAAAATGTCAATAATAATAATTCCACTATATATTGCGAGTTTCATTAAGATTCGTGAAATGAGAGAGTCATATGAACTAGAATATTTAGAAGGAAACCACCCCTAGTATATAATACTTGTACATAATCTACTAGAATCTCGTGACAATTTAAAAAGAAGATTTTAATTTTACGTCTCTGATTTTACCAATAACATGAACATTTTTGACACGAAGAAGAAGCTTCATAGGATAAAGCATAATACTTATATGTAACTGCCTGCATAGCCGAACGGTTACCATGCCGGACTGCTACCGAGAAATTCCAGGTTCAATTCCCGGGTCGGGAGAAATATTTGTATGACCTACATTTATTTCACTCGTGTCTTTGGATGTAATTTGTAGTTATTTATGTGTGTGTCCCTAGTGCGGGGCTATGTTGAGAGTGTGCGTTGTTATTATTATTATTATTATTATTATTATTATTATTATTATTATTATTATTATTATTATTATTATTATGTATATAACTGCCTCCGTGGCCGAACGGTTACCATGCCGGACTGCCACGCAGAGGTCCCAGGTTCGATTCCCGGGCCGGGAGAAATGTTTGTATGGCTTACATTTATTTCTCTCGTGAGTTTTGGGTGTAATTTGTGGTTGTCTATGTGTGTGTCCATGGCACCCGCGACACAGGGTTTCCCTAGTGCGGGGCTATGTTGAGTGTGTGCGTTATTTATTTATTATTTATTATTATTTATTTATTATTATTATTATTATATGTAATTACTTAAAACAAAGCAAAATAGTTTATATCTGTCAGATGTTCAAAACTCACAACATCAATTACGTCCATTTATTTCTCAACGTGTAGCAAATACAAATTATCAATTTATGAGAGGATTCTGACACCAATAATCCTCTGTAAACATTTAAAATATAGGAAGTATACACCACACCTGGCAACGCGAAATCATATCACGTCCATACTAAAAGCATGTTTTGCATGAGTTTCGTCCGCATGCGCCCATTCTCTAAATCATAATATTTAATGAATAACAAAATCAATTTCGTATACTAAGTACTATTACATACAAAATCGTTATAACATACAAAAGGCGTTATCTATAGTAATATTATCAAAAATAATATGAAGTGTTAGTAGAATAATAAACACGTTTTAGTACCACGCGTTATCACGCAATATCATGCGTTATAGCATAGTTATGTTACTGATTGTATAGCAACTAAATTATATCTATTATAGGAATCTGATAATATAATCAGTTTAATCAATGACTAATTCAGAATAAATTGATATACGCACAAATACGTACACAAAGCAATGTAATAAGAGCATTCTCATGCTGTTGGCACGTGGCAGGTGAATAGAGTCAGAAATTTATATTATATCTAAGGATATTTTTAAGAATTAAGTACACGAGTATATATATTTTTTTAGTAATATCAAGTTACGTGACGTACATGTCGTGCGCCTGATAGTAAGCTACACGCCTATCCATAACAGTTGCAGTGCTACTCAGATCTTTAAATCGCAAAGATCTGAGGGTCACTGCCACTGCGCCCATCTCCCTGAGACATAAGTTGACAAGTCCCATGTGCCTGTAATTTTACCAGCTCCCTTACTTTTCAAAACCAGAATGCGGTGACGCTTACATTACTGCTTGGCGGCAGAAATAGATAAGGTGGCAATACTTCCCTGAAAGAGTTACCTTTAACAAGGAGCTCTACTGCTGTTAAAAAACCCGATCTCAAAAGTCATTCATTCCCTTGTTTGCCTGTAGAGGTGGAATATTTTTTTCAAATGGACCACTACTGAGGTACCCTCTTTATTGTGGAAGCGTTTAGTTCTATATACATACATGTATAAAACTAACATTTTTGACGCCAGATGTACAGATATGAATCAATGTCTTAACTAAGGTTTTGTTGGTTTACATTAATTAGCCGACACGCGGTTATTAGGGAATAGTCACCATTCTCACTATTGTGGGTTTAAATAACATCGATACAGATAATGTTTAGCCAGTTAAACTCTATACACACACAGAAACTCGAGTAAATCTAAAAGCATCTTTAATTAGGAGCATGATCAAATAATTTTACGTATGAGCCGTGGTAGCCTGATGGTTTGATGTACCGCCTCTCAAGCAGACATCTGCAAAGCAGTGTAATGTGCGTGAAGTTCCCAACCTGCATTAGACTAGCGTGGGATCTACAGCCCAAGCTCTCTCATTGTGAAAGGAGGACAGGGGGCCTACTATGAGCTCTTAGAGCAATCTTATTTAAGCCTATAAGTTGGATTGTCTGTCAAATTCGTACTATGACCTCACAAAAACAATTCACTGTCCATACGGTTTACGTTCCCTATTCAAAATCCGTTCACCTTCTATAGCAAAATCGTATTATAATGTGCCATTTGCCATGCAAATGGCGGTTTCATCTGTAAAAACAAGCAATTCAAAAAGTTACTCGGTCACTAATTTTTTTAGATTTTTAATAAATTATATATATTTATAAATTCATAATTATTTGTTATCTTTATAGGCTATATAGCCAATTGTCAATAAATAAATACTATTAA